CTTACTTACTTAATGTTATCGATCCCTATTGACACTCCTACTGCTTTAGACTTGTACTTTGCAGTACTTCGCACTATTTGTAAACTGGTAAGACTGTAATGTCCTAGTCCTTGTAGTAAAAGGAATACTACGAGTAATGTGCTAATACTTAAAGTAAATAACTTGATTGACACTGATCTAATGTGAAATTGGAGGTAGCTATCAGAAAACTTATGAATACTGCTACAAAGTAGCCAGGTAACAACTAACTCGCGACTTAGCTGACAGAACCTCGAGAGTATCCTCCAACATGTCCTCACGCTACGAACGCTCGACCAAGACTGATTAACTGCATTATAATAAAATTGACTGATGTTCCTAAACGTGCAACCAATAATGGAAGCTACTACAAACATATGTTACAAACTGAGCTTTTCTCAAGAATTGATTTCTATCCTGGCTTCATTGTGTGTCATCAAAAAACCGTAAGGAAAGTGACGTCAAAGCACACATTTTATAACAAATATGGGGTTTCACAACTTCATTTAAAAGCTTCAAGCCCCAAATGTGCAAGTCAACAATACATATTATCTGCATAAGACATATTGTACAAACAGATTTTCTTCACCTGGCGAGTTCCGAAGATGCAAGCGCTGCACGTTAGCTTTCCCGAATGGCTTAAAAAACTAGTTGGTAAAATATTGATACATTGCTAGCACAATGTCATAAAGTATTGTATTATGCATTGTCAATTTTAGATGCTATGTATAAAACGTGCACTCCGAATTTGGCAGAAAAGATCACATTCAAGTTGAAAATACGAAAATAAAAATATCTAAGCGTTTAAAAGCACATGAAGCTTTCAATCACCGTTTGTGGCACAATGAATATCAACAAAAGAAAAAAGGTATTTCCAGTCCAATCGTGGGTCTCCTTCGAATGACAAACGAGACTAATGATTTCCCTCGTCTTTCCCACCATGAGGAAATTTTATATTTACTGGTGTGAAGTGCAAATATTGCTGTTGATAGGAACTTAGCCAAAACGACGAAATCCTGTATTGTTTTTTTGCAATGTTTAAAGCACACCTATTTCCAAAGACCGGGTCAATATTTGTTATTTGTCATAGCATAAGAAAATACGGCGACAAAAATTCATGTAGGGAAGTCGAACGGTCCCGTCATTGCCCATTTTCCTTGCACGAAAGGAAGCCCAACGACAATTTTTTGGTCGATGAAATTCACACTTCTTGCTCCTGCGAACGGTATGAGACAATCTCAGCGTTGAAATTTTCCTGCTTGCCGTCGGTGCGTTGCTCTTCTCCGGCATGCTCGAGATTCTGGAGTTCCTGAAAAAGGATTGATTATTGCCAATGTATCCATCAACCTTACTGCAACTTTTACAAATAGTAGAGGTTGGTAAAATTTCCGATTCGCCGCTTTATACAGGACCGACCGTCTTCGGTCTCTCAATCCTTTTTGAAGGCGTTTTTTTTCCATGATGCACCTTCTTCAGAAGTCCTTTTTTTAATGCATATGTTCCACAATAAAACGTTAATTGAGAAACCGTCTGAAGTTGAGAGGAAACCAAATATTTTAAATTCATGTAGTTTTTCGCTTTCAAATATGCACAAGTTTTCCAGAGGAGTTGCAATAGGAAGTGGGCTAATAAATTGTATGATTTTTATGCTCTTTGAACTTTTAAGGTACGAGCGGATGTGGAAAAAGGCTGTGGACTGAGTGTAGTGTGGATTAAATAATAAAGTGGAATTATGCGTTATTAGCTGCTCTTCTTTACCTGTGTGTTACAACAAATTCGAAGGCTATACGCTCAGACAATACTATTAAAGTTGCTATGCGAGCCAAATTTCACAGAAGCCGCAGATGAGATTTTGGGCAAGTGAAGTGAACGTACATTGCTTCTTTTTCATGACTCCGTGTTACTCTTTCAGATAACATCTACGAGGATATGACCGTAAAGGGTGGTTACAGACCTATAAAAAGCATGGAGCATCTCTCTAGCTTGACTATAAGACTTGAGAAGCTAACACCATATCGTGCACAGTGGGTACCAATGGAACCAAAAATACACACTTTTTTAACACTTTATCTTCAGATAAAATAAGCTAATGATGAAAAATCTTAATGTCATCTCACTTTCTCAGCAGTAAAGAGCAATGTTCCAAGTTTCATCAAACCCAGAGACATCATGATGGGGAATGTATTGATTTGACTCCACGGAATAATTCTGAATTTGAATTTTTGATCTCATCTTGTGTGGACATAAATCCACCATTGATGCGATCGTTTTCCATCATTGACTTCATACAGGAACGCTCCTTGTTGAGTTATATTTCCTCCACCCAGTGGCTAATATCTGGAGTCTCCTTTGGCCAGGTAATCGTCTCAAATGTGTCAATGAAGGTATTCAAAAGTCTTTCTCCAAATTGTAGAGAAGAGACGGGAAAGAAAATAAAAAATACATATATCTTGTTTTTAAGGATCAAATAGCTTCATCAGTCGTGAAGGCGTAAGTTACATAAGTTTCTTGGACCTATTAATAAGTAGCGGGCCATTCCCTTAGAGGCCTATGAGAAAATGAAAGATGATGCTTTGTCGCCTATTTCTCCATTTTGTATATGAGCAGTTGCCACCTAAGAAATTTCCTTTTGTGTGCATCTACAGCCTTCAGACTGATTTGGGTTAAAGACACCTGCTTAAACTGCAATTTTCCTTCCAAAAGTTGCAGCTAAGGGATTCGTGGCTGGCGATCGGAGAGAGCTGCTGCATGAAGCAATATGGAGACGATTTTTGAAGGAACTCTTAAAATATTGCATCTGGCATCTTCCATATTATTCTCTGCCATCTGCATGCGACGCGGACGCACAAAACCACGTGAATTTTCTCCAGATTTTCCGAACAGTTTTGCTTGCAGGTTATTTACAGCTATGATGTGGTTTTTCCCGTTTAACTTCGCCGTAATGGATATATTCTCATGGGTAAAAGGGTATGAGTTAAGGCGGATCTTTAATGAAAACCAAAATATTATAAAGATCAAAACAACTATTATTCTGAAGATGAAAGCGAAACAAGATATCCAAAAAATTATATAAGAGGAGGTAACGTCATGAGTTTATGCGCATCAAGAGAAAGGAAAATAATCAGCTAAAATCGTGGATTATTAAAAAAGAACATGATTAAATTGACAAGTGACAGTTTTCGAGAAGCGATAATCTCATTTTTCAGCAAGTTTACATTTCATCCGTTACCTATGACTATGAACTGCGGGTAACGACAAATTAGGTCAGCAATGCAAGCTGCTTTAATGAGATTCCTGTCCATTAAAACACATCGTGAGAGGTAGTTCCACAATCCCTGGGAAAAAAATGTCGAGCAACTTCTTTTTCGGGTTGAGAGATTCCAGGCCCGTGGGCGTAATTGAAAGTCCAATGAGAGACCCTCGAGAAGCATTTCACGGTTCCTAATGACCAACAGAGTATAATCACTCCATTGCCTCTATCACAAGAAGCTCTGCTTTCCATGTGCTCAATTCAGCTGCAACCCTATATTGTGCTAGTGGAAGACAACGGATATGATTGGAGAAAAGAAACGATGTTAACTCAATAAATAAAATATTCCTACTGCATAAATCATGGTAAATGGCCTATTTCTGAAAGCGGCATATTTCACTATATTGAGAAGGCATTATATTCACTAGCAATTCAATTCGGCTGTTTCTTGATACTATGCCTCTCTCACGTGCCTCCGAATTTCCGAAATCAGGAGTACGAAGAAGAGTCAAAAATTGTTACGAGCTCCCATACTTGATTATTTCTCATAACGAAAGATCATTTCCCCTCACCTTGAAATGGGAGTAGACGACGAGGAAGAAGTGCACTGCAATGGAATATGCGATTATGAAAACGACAGCCACGACGATGAAGATGATGAAGAAGAGACCATTCTTTGTCGTGATAAGGAATCCGATAAGTATTATGAAAAACACGACGATAATTATTATGACAACGATCAGCGCCAGGAGCTCCAGAGCCAACCATGGTATCATTAGTTTCCTCTTCCCCTGAAACGTTAAAAAAAAGGTCGCAATATTTCACAATCTTTCTTGTATGACTACTTATCGTTTCGTTAAAGTTACCGATAAAAACTACGGATATATTCCCCTAGTAGCATATAGCATTGATACAGCATTAATTCAGCGGTAATTCAACATCCGGACGCTGAACCAACATTGAATCAATGTTGGCTTAACGTCCAAATGGAGTACAAGGGTATAAGCGCCTCACAGGTTACACATCGGTCATTATGTACATGAACAGGGCCAAGCAGAATGTGCTTTATTCACATAAGAGATGTCCAGGGACACTCAGCGGTTTCCAGGGGCTCGGGGCAAAACTAAACCAGCCCTTGAGGCCGTTTGGAGGTCCGCTGGGGTGCCTTGGTAAGAGAGGCTCGGGGCAGATTGCCCGCTATGCCCGATGTCCCCCCCCCCCACCCTATAGGGAGCCATCGTGATGTCGCAGTTTAAATGCATGTATTTCTTTTCAACTTTTATTTCTTTTTTATTTTGAGATAAATATTGATTCATGAAGCATATTTTCATGTTGCGATCAAGAAATATTTTGTCACGTTAGAAACTTTTCTTTAAATTGCACGCTATGTCCTCCACGATGGAAATATAATTTTAGTTAAAAAAAATTAGGAAAGTGATTATAACAGCTGCGAAAAAGCATCAACCGGACGCCATGTCACCTGCAGAGTTAACACTGTGATAGAAAATTGATTGATTTTTAACATTTTCTCAGGAAGAAATTTTTAGGTGGAACGTGCATTAAATAGTGTGAATGTGAAACTCACTTTAATCCATGAGGTTGGACGATTAATGTGATTACTGAATGCATGCAAGATATTGCTCGCATCAGAAACAAAATCCCTCACATATATTTTGACCCCATACTTATTTACATCAGCTGAAATGAGTTTGGTGTTGTTTCCTGCGCGTACGCCCATTGTTATTCAGAATCATACTATGTACTTCATTTAATCTCTCCATATTGCGATGATCATACACAAATATTACTTCTAAATCCTCAATGGCGTCGTCATTAGTTGCATACGATCATATTATCCAGGAGCCCAAGCGATTTGGTTTTGCTTCATGCATTGTACTAACCACTGAGCCTTCAAAAACATCAGACACCATGCAAACTTCGATTCCTTTCATTTGCAGCTAATTGCAAGAAAAGAATGGCAAAAGAAAGTTTTAATTGTCTTTCATATCTTGTATTTCCAGAATATCCTGACGCGCAAAAAGAGCGTTCAATGGTTGATGTATATTCAACTCCTCTTAGGGGAATAGCCTGAGATAAGAAGCAACTTTTGATTGGCTCAGATACAAACCTTCCGAACTCCATGAATGAGAAGGGAATCAACTATGAGGATCGCCGGAATTGTGACCATGCTGGAGATAAGAAGATTCTTATATGCTGGAAGAGAAAAGACGGGATACATAGCGAAATCTCGCAAGATCATCCTTACTTGTTTTACAACGATAAACATTCAGTTATTGCTTTTAAAATATAATATCGAAATGAAACGAAAATCTTAAGACTTCCAATTCCAGAAAAGATTACCTACTCTCTTCTGAAACGTATTCCTGGAATTCCAGTCTCCCCGTGTATCCGCGACTCATGTCAACCGCGTTCCTGACGAAGGAAACGCAATAGAAAATCTGGAAAAGAAAAAGTAGCATTAGACGACGATCAGGGGTTTCTTTTCTCTTAGAGGAACTTGATCCGTATCAAAAATCGAATTCAGAAAACACAAAACAATTGAAACGTTTCTTGGATGACATCGTTTGCGAGCTAGATGAGCCACTGACTTGATGCCTTTTGTTGTGTTGTTTACGACCATGAAGTACATCAGGAAAGAGAATTTGTTATTAAATTTCCTTTTATTCACTTTTCCTACTCTTACTATCGTGTTTTCAGGAAGTCCTTCACATTCTGACATTTTCGATAGATAATAAATTATTCATCGAGTCCAAGTGGTCGATTTTAAAAAATGTTACAAAGCGGAAGATTTTTGTTTCCTATTCGACTCTGTCTCTGCATCGAACTAAAAAATGAATCGAATAAGTTCATTTTCCCTTCACATGACACACGCCTTCGACGCTTCCTGGTGCAACTGAATATATTTCCTGCTAAAACTTGTAGGTGCGGCGCTTTAAGATTTAAACGGTTTAGCAAAACTTCACATAATTCAGAAAATCCTCAAAGTAACATAACTTTACTTCCGCTATTATTCCCTTAGGTGGAAACCCCCCATGAAAATTGCCTTTTCGTATGAGAGGTAGGCCCATCACATAATACGTGTAAAGGATCGAGAGTCAGTAGGTGAGCGAGGTAATGAGAATCTTGAAATAGAGTAAACTTGAATTTTGGCGCACAAGTATCACGATTGGGTAGTATTATTAACACTGAACCATGATACCGGACGTCATCCTGGGTGAATGGGCCTCTTATCTTTAGTAGCAGTGCCTGTAATCTGGAATAAAAAACAGAATAGTATGCTTACACTCTTGCGGCATGGTATGATTCAGCTAATAGTGGAAGATGAGAGAAAGATTCTCATGACATTGTCTTCTCATAAATCCCCATCTCATAAATCGCGTGTCAGTTGTTGCCAGGGTTCTAAATGGAGTGAGAAACCAGCGGGGTGAGTGTCATCTGTCGGTCGATTTAGAACTTCGTGATATTGGTCCGAGGAAGCCACATCAAAAATTATTGCAGGATATGGTAACTTGAGTATTCCTGGCCATGAGGAATGAATTTCAAGCAATTCGTCCCTGTTAATCACGTCTGCAACTTCATTCTAGTGGGTTAGGAACATTCGGAACACCCTGTACATTCCCCGGGAAAAATGAAATGACGATTCAACTTTCTCCAGAGCTAACAAGTTTGTGATCGTATGGAAAGGGAGGAGCCGCGTCAATCGCCGTGAATTGTTAAACCAATTTCGAGAATGGAAAAATCCATTATTTAAATGGGCAATGGGTACTGCAATTTTCTTGCAGCTAACATAATACTTTGCACCACTCTTACATGTTTTATTGCTGCTCATGAGGGGGTTAAGAAACTCCAACGGCAAAATAATTAATACTAACTAAGATGAAGTAATAGATAATAATGAGAAATGGGAGATTCCAGTATACCAGATCGAATATTCCAATTGCCAAGCTCCCATCCCTGATGTTCAAGCATCCACAGCAACAGCGTTTGACGACTGGGAAAGCCATTTTCCAATGACTTCTGTTCACGACCTGTAGCAAAAGAAAAGGTTATGTTGTCCTGTGGGCAAATGAGATTAAATCTGTGTACATGTAATGCCCAAGTCTATGCATTTAGAATTAACCTAGATGTCTTGAAAACCGTATTTGACCTTCATGAAGTGGACTGCATGGAGCAGGTTTTTTTTCTCGAAAAATCATTGGAAAATAAAATTACTAGTTGCTTTAATTTTTATTGTCGTGCAAGTGATGAGCGATAGACATTCAAATTTTCGATGTGGAATACCGAAAATTCCAATGCCTGGCCCGAGGAACAGGATTTAAAGCGATCAAAAACATGGTTATGGTTTTCCTGAACGTTCATTCTGGACTTATCTAATACATACAGAGTGACGGACACTTTTCTAAACATGTCCAAGAGAAGTAAGAAATCTGCAACTTGGTGAACTAGTAGCTATTGGGATGCAAAGTTTAGAATGAATCCGACTTTGGAGGTACATGCCATTTCGGGCACTCATTTTGGCGGAGATGTTTTCAAATTAATTTTTTTCCCTTCAGTGAAACGATGATACATGGAAAGCTGAAATTTGGCAGAAACGTGCCAAATAAGACACTTTCAGGGAAAATACCAAATTTCAGATGCATCCCCTCGGGGCATATTCTTTAAAAACTACACCCCTTTGGGATGTAGTTTTTAAAGAATTTTTTTTGTCCTAACGAATTCGGCACAAAAGGATAAAATTTGGCCCACGTATGACTAACGCGATGTTGAGTTTAGTGGAAAATCAATTTTGTGGTGCATCGCCTTGGGGCATAGCTTTTGGGTGAGTCGGCTTTTCCAAGCATATTTTTTCCCCAAACGTATAACATTTCAACTTGGTGGACATGTAGTTCTCTGAGTACTGATTTCAGTAAAAAAAAATTGTACTTTTAATGTAAAACTCTTCAGGGCACCTTTCTTGGCAAATGGCGCAAGTTCCTGAATCCTTTTAGATCCAATGAAAACGAGAGCGACATTAGGTTAAAAATTGGCGCAGAAGTAAATGAGGCATAGATAAATAAGGGAAAAATCCAATTTTTGAATATTTCCCATTAGGCGAATTATGAGAGGGAAGTATTTCAAGATATATTTTCCGCTTCAACAAAGAGGGGTACCTAAAGGTTTCTGGCGTTGGATACGAAATTATCTTTGTAAAGTCTTCGAAAAAGTAATTTGGTAACGAACGATGGTGTTCATATGCGAGATGGCACTGTTCATCTCTGATTTCACACCCGTCCAACCGCATCGAACCACAAGGCTTTCTTCTGGTCACACCTGGGCGTACCATTCAGACTCTTGCAAATGATGGAGGGTGAAACACCAGATATGTGGAGCCCGGCTGGCGCATTGCCCTCCCCCCCCCACCATCCCCAGTCGATATCCAGTTTCTTTCTTGATAGGGTTCCCCTCCCTTGCGCCTAAAAGCGTGTAATCGGACAACTTCATTCCCGATCCAAATAAATTGGGAATCCTATCAATATGAATCCCGAGTGCGAAAATCAATGTCCTGTATGTACTTCAGTTCTCATTTTCTCTCCTATTAAAATCATGTATTGGAGAAGTTCGTCTCCAGGCCCGTTTTATTTATATAATTTATATAATATAATTTATTATTTATGTAACTCAAAATATATACAGGGTGACACAAAAGTTCTGTACACTCGGTTATCTCAACTTTTTATAACCATTTTTAAAGAACTCACAAATGGGGACAACGCTATTAGAAACTACAACCATTTCAACAGATAATGCCCGCAAATTCATTCAAAATGACCACCTTTTGCTGTAACACAATCGCGAAGTCTCTTTCGGAATGCATCGACTGCGGCACGCAGGGTTTCCTGGGGGATTTTGATCCATTCCGTTTGAAGGGCACGCTTCAAGACACAGACTTCGGTCGACCTGATCGATGACGATCTTCTGTAGAGTTTGTCTCAAGGAACCGCTGAATTGTACGTTTGATGAAGTTCCGGTTGTAGCCATTGTTCTGGAGCAGTCGGAAAATCTCGGTGGGAGACTTCCCAGCTTCGTGCAAACTGATCACAGCCGACCGACGATCTTCATTGGACAATGGCATGACGAAACTGATAGTTTCATCAGCACTTGGAGAATCCCCTAAGTCGCGCGTACCTTAAGCTACGTGTAGAAACCAAGCCAAGTATATATGAACGTGGTAGCTTAGAATCGAGAACAGTTTTTTAAAGTGTACAGAACTTTTGTGTCACCCTGTATATCAGGGAACTCATGGCATGGTAAACAATTTAGCCTCCTTTTACATAGGTGGCATATACGCGTGCTAAATCGAGAGGGGATTATTTTTTTTATGGTCTCAATAGGTTAAAAATGATCGGGGAATGTAATATATTGAGGTCCTGGAAATGAATAGTTCTTGAACTTAATTCCCTTTAACGACTGTATCTAAAGAAGCACCCATTTAAACAAAGCATGCTTCGAAGCATTTTCTTGTGGGCTGAACTTCAGAGACGGCGATTTCTAAATCTACAGAACCGATTTCCCTAATTAAAAAAAAAAAAACAGGAAGCGAACTGAAAAGAATGAAAAGGTAAAAAAAATAAAGGGCGCAAACTCAAATTCTTGATTTCGGCTGATGCCGATCAAAGCATTCGGATAATATTGAAATATTCACCCGTTCCAAAAGTCACACTTCTAGGTGATTCGCAGATTGCTCAATGAGCAAATATAAATATTTTTCACCTGAGGCTCCCAGGTATAATAATTCTCCCCTCCGCACTGCACCTCGAAAGCTTGCCAAAATCCGACGAAGTACCACAGGCAATCCACGAAAGACCCGAGCGGAATGGGCGAGAGGGAACGAGATCCTGCGGCATCCCCAGCCCAGATCGATTGCGTCCGTCTGCCTCATGCGCGCAGGCGTTGGGTTTGGGCGTGAGAGAATTTGCTGGGATGAGGGAGATGGGGACTCGCGAGCTGGGCAGTCGCGTTGAAATGCAATCTACTCTGAGGAAAAATATAGACGGCTTGTATATTAATACTTGGAGGTCGAAGTTAGCGACAGGAAGGGGTTGAAGGAAGGGAAGAGGCACTTAAGCGCCTGTTGATTCTAGAGCCTGCGCCTAGAAATCATCCTTTCTCTTTCAGTTCTAGTGCCTTAATTTTCCTATGTGCGCAGAAGGTCCAATTTTTTAACCAGAAAAGAAGCTTTTTCATCTCCTCTTTCTTTGCCCATCCTTCCCTATGGTCACTCCCGCTCGAAAAATGAAATCGTTCGTCATGACGCACCTCACTTGGAACGCGCAACCATTCTCTCCGCCTGCGAGGGACCATTTGTAACCCACGGAAGATTCAATAGGAGAGTGAAAGTGGGTGGAAGAGTGAACGAGATATTGCGCTTCCCTCTTCTCGGCTTTCGGGCAGTTCGATTCTGTTTTATTCTACCTCATAAACCAGCGCAGGCGAAGTGTTTCGGGAGAGAAAGAATTTTCTGGGATGTGGGAGAGAAGGGCTCGTGAGCTGGACATTACGTTAAAATGCAATTTGCCCGAAGAATCTAAGCAGATTGCCTGTACGTCATCTCCTTTGGCATGCCTGTCCATAATGGACAGGCACCGGGCGGCAGCACGACGTGAAGGAACGTTCATTGAATCCCGAAGAAAAAAAGTGATGGTAGTGGACGAGTTGAAATTTCCCAGAGACGCTTGAATTGCGTGATTCAGAGACATTTATCATAAGTAACCTTTCCCTTTGTGGGGGAGTCGGTTAGTTAAGTCGCAGGTGAATGATTGGTCATCAGAAGTCTATCCATACGATATTTCTGAATGTTTGTGTGTCTGTCTGTCCGTCCTTTATGCATGGCCACGTCTCTGATCCCAGTCCAAGCAAACTTTGCACGGCTTTCTCATTAGGTCCGGGGACGGTCGTGGGTCGCCTGCCCCTAAATCCGGCTCTGTCCTGGGGTACCGTATTCAGTGCAGACAAATATGGGACCTCTACAATATTCACCCTTGCAACGCCGGGTGCCTCTGCTAGTTTCTTATGAAGCCATTCAGAAATGAGAGAGGAAGCACCACGACATCAAAAATCGCATTCAGTAAGACCATGATTGCTTTTAAACCGTCACAAAGAAAGCCTAGGTAGAATTGCGAAGATAACGCAAAAAAAAATTTTTTCAATATATAAATAAACTTTTTTTAAACACAGGCTGCTTTTCCTGCATCTCCTCCAGCTCAATGGCCTACCGGCCCACCATTTAAGAGGACTATTCAGGCCACATTACACATATGCGGTATTTTCAAGGGTAGGTTTACGGAAATCGTTCGTCACCTCCACAAGCACAAGCGCAGCTTCGCATGCCGAAGAAAGAAACAAGAAAGGAGAGGGACCAGAAATTTCGAAAACTACTGAGCGACGAGAGCCGATGAACCTTTCTTCATTGCTGCGGTTTTCAGCGAGTTCGGAGGCGTCCACATGAGGCTTGCGATCCAGTGAGTTGTACCCGCGGAGGTGGTGGAAGGGTTTCGGATTTTCTCTGTGCGGTGTTGGGCTTATTTGTCAAGTGCCTATGCAACCGAACGAAATTGGTAAATATAGGTGTTTAAACGCCTATATTTACCAAGCGTCACAAATTTCCACTTCCTCCTATTCCACTCACAGCGTATCTTCGAAGCGACTTTCGACATGTTTCTCACCGTGGAGCCACTCCGATGCGCTTCTCCCCGAACACTCTTGCTGCCGCCGCCGAAACACCAGACCGAAATAGAGTCCATTTGGTCTCTACATCTGAGGTCTGTGGAGGCAGTTGGGAGTACTTCTCGCCGATCTCCCTCGCAGATTCGTCACGAGTTCCCACATCGCGAAGGGCTTCCCACCATGCTCGTCTTTCAACGCGTGCGGTTCTCTGCCTCGTTCTGAGATTCGCTCGTATCCGAAGTTTGCTGACCATTAGATGGTGATCGGTGCTCAGTTCTGCCCCACGCCACACCCTCGTATCCATCACAAGGCCCCATAAGTCCGTCGAAACGATCATGTGATCGATCAGCGATTCAGCGTGGTTTCCCCAAATCGACCGATCATACCACTCCATGTAGCATCGTCTCTCCCCACTCGTGCATTGAAGTCCCCCATCAGCACAACGCGGTCGCCGTTCGGAATGCTTTTTAAGGTTCCATCCACCTCCTCAAAAAACGCATCGTGATCTGACTCGCTGTTCGGCCCGTAGACCTGAACGACGGCCAAGACTACGACTTGCGCCAGTCTGAGGCTGAGCGACACGCTCGCTGACTGGGTTCCATTCGATGACGCTTTCGGCTCCTTGGGGACTAATGAGTATCCCTACTCCAGCCTGAGCAAACACGGTAAAGTCGATTTCGCTCCAGTAAAGGGTCCATCCGTGGTCTAGGGTAATGGAACCGGTGCCTTTCCTCTTGGTTGAGGCCAGACCAACTACACCTTTTTCATATGGTTCTCAGGCCTACCTGTCATTCAGGCAAACCGCATGCCAAAAGGAGCACGCAGGGGCTTTTGAAGGAATGGGGAACAGGAGGAGGAGGGGCGAGTGTAAGCCGTTGTATCTCCGTTTCACCTTCCTATAGTCTGGAGAGAGAAACCAAGAGAAACTGCCAAGCCAAATCATACCCCGAGGATAAATAAAAAATCCAGACGGCCAGAGGCCGAAGAGCGAAATCCCTTCATTTATGAATGGGATTTCTGTCCGACGCAGTATTGACATCGAGAAGAAAGCTCGTATGCGCGTCTGCTTAAGGCATTCGTATACACGCTGCGAATTGACTCTTCGCAGTTTTTTTTTTTAATTTGGCATCGGTATCTCGTAAGGGTCATTCTTGCTGCAGCTGCCAACTGACGGTTAGCGACGGGGGCCTGCAAAGCATCGATCCGCCTCTTCGCTTATGTTTTGAAGGGCGAGAATGTGAATTCGATGGGATTTATCCAGGGACTGTAGGGGGGGGGGGGAGAGGGATGAAATGAATAGAGTGGGTTGGGTATCGAGGGATGACCCCCTTTCTTGCACTTGAACATTGTCCAACACTAAAATTAATCCATTGTCCGGTCCGATTATGGCACTAAGTTCATCCAAAAACTCGGCAAACGCAAGACGCGTAAGACCTGGCTCCATTGTCTGGTGGTGAAAAAGTACACGAGGAGGGACGACCTTAACCTGACGAGCTGAAAAACCGAAATTTCCATTCAGTCTTGTATTAATGAAAATTTTCTCGCAGTTGAGCCATCGATAATGAATCAAGAATGGAATGTGCTTACAGACGCCAGACAAAAGAGGAAACGAAATCTCCTAGACAGGCCAGAAAGTCGACCATCTGCTCTCCCATCTGTTCTGCTCTCCCTCAGCTCAACCGCTGGCCCGCGCGCTCTCCCTATTTCCATCATCTTAGCGAATCCTTTGGGGGGTGCAGTTTAGCGTCATTGCAGGGAGGCCTGAGAATCACCTGAAAAAGGTATGTATCTCGTCTCCTAGTCTCCTCCACGAATACAGGCTCCTTACCACAAAGCACGTTAGCACGTTCCAAGTCCCGATGTTCAGTGTCCGTTGCCAAGGTCGTTTACCGTTCGATTCCGCTCCTGGTCTGCCCTTTGGGCATCTTGCCGAAAGAACGCTATAGCCGTTGGCAAGCCGACCGATAGGCCTGGATATAGCATGACTGGGTCCGACGCACCCAGAGACATCGGATTGCCCGGCCTCAGTAGCCAACTTGTCAATATTCACCCTGGGTACACAGTGACTGTCGCTGTCCTGATTATCCTGGGCGACGACTGAGCCAGTATGGAATACCCGAGCCGAACTCATCATGCTGGCTTTGGTTCGTCTTGGTCACCCTCAACGGAAGCCCTATAACATGGTTGGACCTGAGATACTACTGCCTTCCTCATCACTGGGGTCCATCCTCGCGACGGGGACACGCGAACCGTTGAGGACTCTGGTGGGTCATCACTGTCAATACTTTCCGTGTTGCATGGTGTCTGGGCACCTTCGGCGAGGCGAAGAATGTTTTGATTCTCGGCTGGATAGCGTCGCACTGCAGGGATCAAGATGTCCACATAGCACATTTCCATCGTCTGTGAGGAGCAGATGAGCAACTCAAGTCCAGAAGTTTGTTTAGCCTTCAAGATTTGTCGAGGTGTGTTATCTGTTCTCACGATAAAGCAGGGTGATGTGCGTACACAATTTTACAAGAGCCCACTCGATATTCAATTTAAGTATTCAAGATATGCGAAAAACAATACAATATTGATGCAATTGTTCCACGTTACTTGTCTGGGTAGACAAAAAGTCAAAATTGTGCTGTTTTCCGGTTTTCGTAATGAATGCCTCGACGTTGAACTGTGCAATTGTGATCGATCATTTCAAGATTAGGGTGATCCCCAACTCCATTTCATCGTATATGAAAGGGCTCTCACTTATTGTACTCATGAACGTGTGGGGAGGGAGGAGGGAATCAACACGCCGACCGGCTGTGTTTTAATGGCTCGTCGAAGTTTCTTAGTAATGTGAAGGCGCCAAACAGCTTGGAATAATATTCCCGTGGAAAGGGTGTGTGCTACAATCCATGGCGGCTAAGATCACCAGCCCTTGTGAAAGCTTGAGGCGTTTTTTTTAAATCGCTTGATCATCATGTGAAGTTTTGGAATGAATATACTCTCGAAACGTAAAGCCTCTGTGTTCTGAAATCGGTACTCACGAACCAGAAGTGTATTTAGATCTCATTCCTCGTCATTTAAGCATGCCTTCAGCCAAAGTTTTTTTAAATGCCCTCAAGGGAGTATGGAAAGAGGAGGATTTGATCGAGAGAAATCTCTGGAGGCATGGCAGACAGGTGTCTAACACTTCAGTCACCGGCGGTTTTCCGTGCCGAGTGTCCGGGATGCCAGCTTGGAGCCATTGACAACCATAAATGGACTATGATTATGTTACTCTCGTCATGTCGCTGACACTAAGCTGATGAACCCTCACCCATCCCCCTCGAATCGTCACCCCCCTCGAATCCAAGATCTGCTCGATCTTGGAATCAAGTCGAATCGACTATCTCCATTGCAAGTCAATGCTGCCTCTTCCTAAGTAGCACCAGATATTGCCTCAATGCTGGAAAAAAACATTGGGCACATTTGCTACACCTTGGCCAGTATAATCAATATCGGCTCAATATTGATCCGCGATATTGCCATTCCATCATCGATCCAATATCGGACCAACGCGATGATCGAATGTGCCCAAGATGCACTTGGAAGTTTTTGGGAAATGTTGAAGTTCTCTTTCAGGCGACTAAAAGGAGGTATGAGTCTTGCTTTTTGCACAAACGCAAAAGTGCCTTTCCCTCCTTCCATCGAATCGTCCCTCACTGGAGTGCTTATTACCTCACCATATCTCTCGTCTAGTCTCATTATGGGAATCAACAGACGAGGACACTTCATTTGTTATCCCCATTTTCGAACAAGAACTTTGGAGCCCAGGGCATTAACAAGCTTATATTCCCTGTAAGAGCCCCTTACTAGGGTAGGATTCCCTATGTTACATGTCCATGAATAGGTCGTTACAAAGTACTAGTACATGTAGTACTAGCACTGGAGATAAAAATGTCCTCAACAAGGAATAACCTCCATGGAATAATGAATTTAGATCAAATAGCAGCGCCAATACCAGCCTTTAATAATCCTTGTTGATGGATTATTAAAACGAAAAAACGCAAACGAAGGGAGAATTGCTCTCGGCGGGAAAAGTCGTGGGAACGGCAATTTTCGAGCCAAACCACGACTTTGAGAAGATTCCGCTAAACCCGCGGGTATAGCGAAACCCTGTCTCTCCGTAGAGAGATTCGAAATCCTTTTTCCTAATTTAATTCCTTTTTCAAGAAAAGGGGAAAGATTGAGAAGGACAGAAACTCAAGTAGGACTTTACTCTTTTTGCTCAATTTCCTTTCATAAACAGAGGCACACAATATAATTTATTGGACGATGGAAATCACACTTCGTCCTTCCACTTATAGAGCGGCGTCTCTTCAACATGAACATCTTCCTGGTAGTTTTCGACGCGTAGGCGTCGTTTGGGTCCTCCAGATTGCTTCAGATTCTCGAGTTCCTGAAATGTGATCGGTGACCATAATTATTTTCGCCCTGCGTTCTCTGACTCATCCAAACCAGGTGGGGAACAATTTTGTATCCGTTACTTCAGAGGTACTGCATCAGTCAGCAATGGCTAATCTCTCAGCACTTACTGGAGGAACTTAATTCCCCGAATCTCAGGGTGAATCCTTAAAGTATGACATAACTTAAAAGATTCATCAATTTCGCTTAAAGGTTTCTTCAAAGATATCAGTCAGAAGACTAATATTCTTAAAATTATTCATAGTAGATTTCCTTATTTGCATTAATTTCCATAAAAAATTACAATAAAGAGAGACTTAAGAAGTTTTACACTTTTAAACTCCTTAAAATTTGAAAGTTCGAGGGGTTATGAATATGTTTGCAGACAGAGCAATATGCCTTTTTCTATTTTGGGTATCCGAGTAAAGTATTTCGCTTTTAGCCAGTCGCCTTTCCATGTATATTGTATCAAGATGGAGAGTGTCGGACATTTTCAAAAAAATAGTTTTCTTTCTCGCAAACTAGGCAAAAATGGGTTAAACTTGGCATACAAGTAGATGTTGCGACGGGCACAACTTTTCTGAGACCTTATTCCCAAGGAAAATTTTATGTTTCTGCGATTGCGGGCAGATAAAGAAAGTTGAAATTTGGTAAACCAGCAGTTCTTTAGGTACTCAATTTAAATATATTCATTTTTGAGTTAAATGCTTTGGTTGCAAACATTTTCGGCGGAGACATATTTCCAACTTTTTTCGCGTCATTTTCATCAGCTGCCATCAGGCAAAAGTTATTGGTTAAATTTCGCCAAATGTGACAATGATACTTTAAACACGCTTAACAGATTTTTAAGCAACCGCTATTTAGACCGCTATTAAGGAATCACCTGCTTCTCATAACCCTGCGTGCACAATGTTCTTTACTGTGAAATTCCAGTTGGTGCAGCAATCTACTCTTCGAATATTTCCTTTCACTTGACATGAAGTGAGTCCCCCAGTCAATGTCCTTCGCGATATAGCATGTGCACCTGCACACAATAATTAGGAGTATTATGAGGGCGGAAATCCCTTCAGGACAACTTTTCCTGTAACCATATTTAACCATATGATTAAAGTTTCCCATTACCATATGTAACCATATCAAATCGAAGGACTAAAAAATTAATTGCGTGCTTGAGTCTAGCTCATGACAAGTCGTTATACCACCTCACCTTGAAATAGGAATAGATGACGAGGAAGAAGTGGACCTCAATGGAAAATCCAATGAAGAATGTGACAGTAAAGACGAAGAAGATCATAAGGAGAACACCATCCTTTGTCGTAAGGAAGCACGAGGAGTACAATGAAGAAGAAGAGCAGAAGCAAGAGGACAGCGGTCAACTCTAGGAAGTTCAGACACAACCAGGGCACCATCAGTCTCCTCTTCTTCTGAAAAGTTCGAGAACTGCATATCTATAAATAAATAAAAACTTTCAAAACCCTCCTTCGTGTCTGACTTCTTGCATTTCATCTCAAAGTGACTGACATATTCGAACTAAATACTGTAGGCAATTGTGAGTAACAAATTTAACCCAATGCGTATGAACAGGGTCAAACCTTATACTGTGAACAAAGTTTTGACGTCAGAGTTTCCAGGCGTGCCTATATTTAGTTACAGATGAAGCTATTCATTGAAGGAATTTATCAATTTCAGTCAATAATTATATTAAGTCCGTTGTTATATCCTCCCCAAAAATGCACTTTTACAAGAAAAAAAAGTCACACAAATATTTCATGAATTCACACAAAATGTATATAAACACCCATTTTTAACTTTAATTGTCCTGAAATGAAAGTACATTCGCATCTAATGGTTGGTGTGGTTAAGGCTGAGTGGGGAAAGGCTATGCGAATTTCTGGATTCAGGAAATGATCATAGAAAACGAATTCGTCAGTGAAGCACATTTCATGTTACTTTAAAACCTTCTTCAGCCCGTACGCTCAGCATGGGATTACATCTGCTATATAATTACTCAAGACATACATGACATTGCAGGCACTAAATATGAAGTCATTCACAGGCATTTAAAACCCATATGTTTTTATTTGTGAACATGAGTGTTTGATGACCAGCAGTATACAGATACTTTATGCTATTCAGAATCCTAATCTATACTGAGTTAATCTATCGAACCACACTGAACCGTCCCCAAGTAGCATGATGGAAGGTCGTATAGCATCTTCATCAGCCATTTGCAATCACGTTGTCCAGAACCTTATGTTTTTTTTACTTACTGCATTGTACTGACCACTAAGCAATCATACTGCAAAAATCCGAAACGCCTATGCGAACTTCGGTTCCATTTCGTGTGCTATTAACCACTAGGAAAGCATGCCAAATAATTTCCCTTTTTGGCTCTCATTTTCTGGATTTCAGAGCCTCACGAAGCAGAGAAAAAGGCTTTGATTGCCAACGAATATCCACTTCTTATTTGGGAAATAGTCTCATCTAATGAAATTTTGAGTGACTCAGACACGAACCTTCCGAACTCCATGAATGAGAAGGAAATCGGGTACGATGTACACAAGCGAGACCATCATTTGCAACATGTTGAGGTTCGTATATGCTGGAAGACAAAAGAGAGGATGATTAGTAAAATCTTCCCAATAATTAACATTAGCCCATGTTAAACAAAAGTTAATGTATGTTCATGAAAGAACGAATATCTAAAGGAGAGGATCTGCACACCTTCAATTTGCTTCAGAAGCGATAACCAACTCTCTTCTGAGACGAAATCCTCGAAATGCATTCTCTCAATGTATCCAGCCATTTCACACAGCTTCTCCACAATGAGAGAGCAATAGCAAATCTGGAAAAGAAAAAGTTGCAAAAGAGACTCGGGCGTTGGTTCATATGGAGGGCCTCGAGGTCCGATGGTTTTTAATGTGTGACTAAATTCATGTGAAATCACAAATGCAACGGAAGAAAATCAGCACATTTTGTATGAATGAGCATAAATTTAAGTTTCTTCGTCCACACTTTCATACTTCTAACACCGACAGTAATAAATATAGGCCAAATATTTATCAAATGAGACGACTTCAGAAACTCAGATGCCAGTTGATATGCAGGTTGATTATGTCAGCTAGGGCAAAATTCCCACTGCTCCATCGTTTCACTGCAAAGTTATTACAAGAGAATCAAAATGAAAAAGTGCCTTCTATTACCGGAAGCAAGTGAAAGAAGTCACTAGCAAGCGAAATAAATTAAATAGGGGAGGACAGATTAAATGTTATCAATAATGCAAAGTATACGTCTTCATATATTTGCATATACTGTATATACATGCATCCTCAAGTATCGATTCAACCTGATTTCATATGGTTTCAAGTTGAAACAATGCTCAAATTAAGGCAGGAATCTATATACAGGGTGTTATTTAAACGCAACATAGGGAAGTTCATGCCGGCTGTTTGTGGAGTTCAGGGCGTGCATTACAGCTCAGCGGGTTGCATATTTGGAAGGATGAAACCTATCCATGGTGGGTTTCCTTGTTGATATGCAACCCGGTGGGCCCGTATCCCGTCAAAATGTAAAAAAAAAAAACACATGTCGACTGTCCGATTGTCGATTACCAACTATGTTGAATTCCTGAACGTCGAAGGAATGAAATGTTGAAAGTCAAAATATCAAAGAGAGAAAAGTCGAAATGGACTTTTATTTATTATGTCAATGAAGTCTTAAAAACTCGTCATGCCGAACATATGCCGAACTACACTTGGTCCAGAAAGAAAAGCAAACTAATTGGCGATTACAAATGTGACAATCTCTGACATGCGGCATTCAAAACTGCACATTATGTGCTGCTGCACGCAACTAATCGCACACTTCGCGGTCGGAGTAGGAAGAAACAATTTGATTTTCCCCTTGATTCTTCTTTTCTTCAGCTTTCGTGCGGGATACCCTGACAAGATTATTTCCATCTCTCGCGCTTGAAAGCATTCCTCTTTCTGCGATTTGCATTTGTGAGGAAGTGCACTTGTTACTGATGTAATCAACTCCGCCAACGCTTACTGATGCAGACAGATGATAAGGGGACAGAGCAGTCCTCGCTGCCTCAAGGGAGCAGAGAAGAAAGTAATCTCCTCTCCTTGATTATATCAGGACCCAAGGAACGGAAAAGAATAACCGGATTTCTACATCTTCAGCGTTTTTCCACATTTAGACGCTTTCGGTATTGTAACAATCAGCATTATGCCCATTCGACCATTGTCGATTCGACACTGCGTGGCATTCGACGTTTTTGCTAGTCGACATAAAATCTGACGACATTGTGGCTTTCGACATTATGTTATAGAACCGGTGAGCCTTATAGCCTTCGCCGAACTCCACCTACAGGCGTCAAAATATTCTCTATGATGCGTTTAAATACGAAAACCTTATATATATCATGCTTGGGCGTCTGTATGTCCGTAAGTCCATGTGCCCATATGCGGCGCCTTCTGCCTGCCTCCGAGTGTATGTCTCCCTCTCTCGGGCAAGCAATTTTTCCTTCCGGCCGTTGCGACTGTCTTGAGAACGAAATAGCCGGAGGAGTAAGGGAAGGAAGAGTTAGGATGGCAAAAAAGGACGAAAGAAGACGACGGAGCAGACAGGAATGGAAACCGGGGTTTCTTGATTGCCGAACAAGCGTGCTAACCGGTGCTAACACTACACCACCGAACCAATGAGATTCGGGATTGGTCCATGCCATCCTTAAAACACTATAGCAAGAGAGAGAGGCATTCTACACACACCCCCGCCCCCGCCCCCACCTACTTAGAGGATGTTCACACATCCGATACTGACTTTTTCGCAGGGACGTGTAAAACGTCCCACGTATTACACTTGGAGTCCTCTTTCATCCCTGGAGGATGGATGACTTCCTCGCCGGGATGAGATTTCCTTCCATATATTAATCAGGAACCCGACCCCTTCATCAATGGAATCCCCGTCCTCGTATTACATCGGGGCTCTCACAAGGAGAGTGACTCCCGAGATGGAAAACGGAGCGATCCCACCAGAATGGAACAAGAGCGCTTAAACTTGGATCGGAAAGACGACGTCGGCCGCGTAGTAACCATCCCGATTCTCGATCCGTGTTTTTCATTCGCAGGCCTTCGTGAGTAGTGGTGGAGATGTACTTTACGGACGATACGCATCGGGTCGCAATCGATACTGGATACGATTGTCACTCGTTTAAAGTCGGAATACCTCCTTTGGAAAAGGGGAGGTGGTTGTGCAAGACGTACGCTGTCCGAGCGGCTGATGCGTGGAGCAATGATACGGCCGCCGACAGAACTCGTGAATATCCGGATATGGTACACGCTTAAATGGTAAACGGAAATGGTACACGTCTCGGAGTTCGTGAATCTCTTCCACCGGTTGGGGTCTCCGTCTCGCTCTTGAGCGAGATTGCTGAAATATTGGCGTGGAGTGCCGCACTCGCACATTGGCGATTGTTTAATGTGCCACTTGTGTAGAGTCGACTGAGTGTGTTTGTAGCGGGAGGGAGGGGGGAAGAGTCGAAAGGGGGCCCTTACGTCAATATTGCCCCAGGCCTCACGATTCCTTTTTGGCGACCCTGACTACGTTACGCGCTTAGTCAAAGCTAGAAATGGGAAACTTGGTTTATCTGGCGGCCGGATGGAACCCTTCAAGAGTGGTTGGATCCACATTAGCAAATATCACACCAAATATCACACCAGTTTCAGTTGCTAACAGGTCGAAAAAAAACTACTTTTCCAAAAACCAACTGTTGAAGAGGACTTTGCAGGCCGGACGAAATCAAGTAGCAGGCCAGCAGTTTGACGGCCTTGGCCGAGACCGACCCGAAGTTCGTGGAATTCTTCCTCTGGTCATTCTCGAGAACGGGATAGAAGAGCTGCTGCGTATATTTGAGAGGACTGCTGAGTTTTAGGACTGCTGACTGAGCCATTCCATTGAAGCAGTTTATGGAAGACTTCCCGCAGGTTGGAGTGCCCGGCTCACGTTCTCAAGCTCGCATGTTCTCTACGGTCTTTGCGGCTGTCGGATCCGTCCTTGAGAATGGGAGAGAGAGTCATTGCAACCCTGCGACCCCCCCCCCCACCCAACTCAGGGATGTTCACGCCTCGATATGAACTTTCACGTGGGAAAACCCACGTACAACACTTGGAGTCCCGAATTCTTCCGCGCGAAGGAGGGTGACTCCCGAGTGTGAAAAGCGGCGGTGGAATCAAGGTGGAATAGAACAAAAAGGTTTATCCATTCCTATCGTAACCATCCCGTTTCCATATCCGTATCTTTCACTCCTAGGCTTGCATGAAAAGTGATGGAGATGGACGAAGCGGACAGGGTTGTGATCGATTGGGAAAAGTGCCGTTCAAGAAAGGGGGCGGGATTCCGACAGATGCAAGGGCGAAGATCTCACACCGGCGAGGAAATCTTCATTCCTTCAGCGAAATGAAAGGGAACTCCAAGGATTAAAGGTTGGGACGTGCAAATACTGGGAAAGAGACAGAGGACCACTGGGTTTTAGGGCCGCGAATGATCCAAGGATTTCTTGCCCAAGAGTTTGTGAATGATTTCCACGGGTCGGCAAATGATATCAGAACGAGCCAAAAGAAGGTTGTGACCAAATGCATGAAACATTTAACCGGGGTTCGCTGAGTCATTTTACCTGGAATTATTTGAGAATATAAAATTCTGTTTTAAATGAGTAACAGGTCCTGAAATGATGATATAGCTACCATTAAAATTTTCCCGATCTTTTGCATGTTATAACTGTTCATAAGGGACTTCAGAATGACCATTGATCTATTTTTAAGGAATTTATTACCGAGTAAAAAGAAATATAGGGAATCGATAAGTTTCACCATACCACCCGCAGGACTCCAATGGTGATGCTTCCATTCCTATTGCTCATGCACCCACAGCAACAATGCTTCTCAACTGGGATCTTCATTTTTCAACAGCTTCTCTTGGTGAAGGAAAAGCCTGCGGCTGAACCTGCTGGAAGCAGTGCAAATGCATCTAAATTTGGCTTACGCATCCGCAAGCTCATTCGTCCTGGAATATACCCGGGCAACACGGTGGTGTTAGCGTACCATTCGAAAAGTGTTATTAGAGTGTTTCATTGGAGAAATTCAATTCTGGCACAATTTCGTTCCTCAGCACGGAACTACAGGTCAATAGCAGAAATATCGATCGATATACCTTTAATACCTTAACTGTGTCACTTCCAAAGGAATTATATCCTGTTGTTTCACAGCCCCAAGGAAATAGAATATTTATATTCTTAGGGTAACTCAGTTCCAAGGCATTGGAGAAGACCCACTCTCTTTCCTTGAAACACTCCAGGAGAAATGCATAGAGGCGGATTTCTTAATAGGGAGATTATTAAGAGAGAAGGCACGGAAGAACCTATTGATTCAAAGTTGACAGGCAACAAGCACTAAGATTTTCTAGCCTCAGACAAACCTATTGCGAGGATATCATAGGGGTTTAAGCTTAGAGACTTGGTCCACCGACGATACGTTTTGCGTCACAAATGCGCTAAACCAAATACAAACACCACATGAAATTGAACTCGAAAATGGAGCTTGCGGTCACATGCGGAATCCCTTCGAAACGCACGAGCAACGAACACGGGCCGGAGGGACGGTGAGAGTGCAAAGAGGCCATGCGCGGTTGCGTGTGAATCCCCAGACAGTCCATGGATTGCCCCGAGGGTTTATGAGGTTTATTTACCTTCTTCGACACGACGAAGTGGAAATGTGTCTAGACGATGCAAGGCCACTCAACTCCCCCCCGTTCAATTCGGCTATGGGCCAAGCCCTGGCGTTGAGAAGGACGCGATTATGCAGAGGGATGTTACAAGGAAGCGCGTTTAAAGGGGCTCTCTGGCACAATTCCGGATCCCCCTTTCCCTAGTTGTCGAGGCAGAAGGAAATTTCCATTCTCTCTCCTCCTTCGCTGTTCTCGCAGCTCTCAGCCTTCTGCGGTCTGCTTGCCATCCCAGTTCCGCGATCCAATTCTTTCTTATGTACCCTACGCGACGAAATGTTTTCCATGTGAAGTCTGTTCTTTCTCACCCATTAATATTACCTCGTAGTCACTCTTAGCTTCTCGCTATTTCCTCTCACTGGCTACTTTTCCCATTCGTTAGGTAGGAAAAATTGCATGTATCAGGGCAATTAGATTGAATCATGGGTAAAGGAAGTGGAAGAACCTGCGTGGTTCTTGGTTGTTAGGTTTCCCATCGTAACAGCAGAATAGATGAGTTGGCATTTCATGCCTTCCCAAATTCTCTTGACGGAAGAGGAGAATGGATGAGCGTCTTAGCTACACAAATCTCCAGGCAGGAAAAAGTATTTGTTGGGTGACAGGGAACTGAAAATCCTCATGTAGACCTGTCAACAGAGTCTAACCTTCCTCATTTCTGAGAAAAATCCCTGTAACGTGTGTATACGTATCGTCTTCTTCACCCCAACGATCGTAAACGTCGTAAACACAACTTTTCGAGGGAAAAAAATCAAATGAGGTGCAGGCAAAAGTAGTTTTGGTCCGATCACTGATTTCTTCCGGAAAAGAAACCTTGGCAATCCTAGCTGGTATCTTTTTATTCCAAGGAACACTTGCAAGGCGAAGCAACATTCCTTGATAGCGAAACGTTCATTTTCACTCTGGAATTTCTCTAACTCTCCCAATCATCCTCTTGGCATAACTAATAGCCGAGTGCCGAGTAACCACAGAATTCCAAGTGATCATACGAGTTCGGCCTTCACGACTTGGGTTCTTTAAATATCCCACGTCTCAGGACGGAAGTACCTGTTGCTTAATGGTCTCTATTTCCTCCATGACGGGGCTTGCACTCGGAAGAAAAAGTCTGTTTTGGATCAGTTTCGAGCCCAGATCCCCTGTCGTGGGAGCGCAATGCATTTCAGTCTTGCACGGTCGGGATGCCTTTTCCTCTTGGAAAAAATCAATTTAAATGCAAAATTTTGCCAAAAAGTATATTTTTGAGTAATCGATTTCTCTCCGTGCATTAGTTTCCGCACGGCACCTCATCTCAGCTACGGGGAAATGCATTTTAATGTATAAATAAAAGTTGGTCTTAAAAGGTGATCCCGTCCAAGGAGTCTCCTGAAACCTCTGGCTCGAAGGATGGAACGAATACGGTTCAGTTTCCTTCTTAATTCCATGTGAACTCACAGAATTAGCTCATAACACGCTTACCGACGTCTTAAGTAGGGGGGTTTTCAAGAGCGGGGCATGCACAAATCCTCAGGAGGAGATGGATTAGGATGCGATTGAATTTTCAGCACGTTGCAGCAAATCCAACAGGGAATTCCGACTGGAGCAGAATTATTCCCAAGGTCGTTCGTGGCACGTTGGTAGTTCCTTAACAGGAATGTTATGTGAGCAAATCATGAAACTTTCCAGTGCTACTCGGGTACGTGTAATTAATTGTTATGTAGTAACATTATAGTAGGATTTCCTCAGCCATCTTGTATTTGCTGGGTGGCTGCACGAATCGTGATGGATCTGACTATTTTGATATCAATGAAACGCCAATGCATGAAGGAATTCGTGTTCGGCTAACGTTGGTAGCAACAGTTAGAGCGCGCCGAAGTCCTGGATAGGAATCTGAGGAAAGAACTCTGAGGTTCCTATCCTGTTTCACTATAATTGAACGCCTTACAAAGAAACGCAGTGCTTTTCATGCCGGATGTCATGTAGCGGAACAAACATTTTTTTTTGTTATCACATCTGTTATACCTGATGTAAAAACTTATAAATTAGGATGGTGGTCATGTATTAATTTCCAGCCCCTACTTCATTCAGTGCCGTAAAATAACCCTAAAGAAACGTGACCTCACATTGCGCATTTTCTAGCATCTCATGAGTTTAAATACTTTATTTAATAGCCTTGAGCACCGAACGCGCAAGTTGGCAATACATAATTATCTACGTGCGATACACTATTGGGCTATGAGATTACCTTAATCCGGCGAGCGCCGAAAGCGAAAGCATTTGCGGTTTTCTTTTCCCGAAAGGAAAAACAAACTCTATTGTTCCACACATTGCTTTCGTCATGTGCAATCATGAATAGTTCATTTCTACAAAAGCAGATGTCTCATATTTTGCCCGAAAAATTCACATCCTAAATAGAAAATAAGAATGAAATATATCAACGCTTCCTAGCACATCCAGTATGCAAGAAATGTCCGCAAGGCAATGAAAAAGAGAGACAAAGAACTGGGCTCTGATTGTGGGCCTCCCTTCAAAAAATTTTCCGAGGCGAACGCTTCTTCACGTCTTTCCTGCAGTGAGTTAATTTCATGTTTCCGGGTTCGGAATGGATGTTTTGTGATAGAAATTTCGCAAACACAATGGAAAACTCTTTTTTTGCGGATTTTTTTGCGATATTTACTTGTGCACCAATATACCAGGGCAATATTTGTTCATCGTCGTAGAAAAAGGAACGACAGGGACAAAAAGACGCACAGGCACGTAGGACGGGACTTTAATTGCCCACATTCCCTGCATGAATGGAGGCCCACGAAAACATTTTTGGGACAGTGAAATCTACACTTGGCCCGGCTCCACGCGGAAGGAAACATCTTCGGCATTCAAAATTTCCTGCTTGATTTCAACGCCTTCGTCTCCTCCAAGTAGCTCCGGATTCCCGAGTTCCTGAAATGGAATAGGTCACTATCGTTATTTCCGTCATTCCTTTAGGAACCTGTTCGAGCAGAGCAGGTAGGTGACGCTTCGTGTTCGCTACTTCATAAGTAACTCATTATGGAGCACCGGTCGTCTTCGTTTTCTTACTGAAGCTGCTTAATTTCCCAGTGCAATGAGTTAAACTTCAACGCAGGTCTTCGCTTGAAAGATATATCAATTCGACTTTAAACCGTATTGTGAACCACAAGCTCGACATGTCTTCATTAGGAAGAAGAGAACTTTTGCGACCAAGTACAGTTACGCACATGTCCGACCGCCGCCACCCATGAGAGTTCGCTTCGTGCCAATCGTTGAGAAAGTGGTGCTCATTGCCTTCCTTGATGTATAAGGTATTCTACACTGGGCACCAAAAGAGACAAGTGTAAATGCAACGTAATGTAAAACGTAGTGATCTTAGCGAGGCAATTCCCAAGAAGCGTCCGCTGTTGGTTGGCCAATGATTCTTTGGTAAATTTTGCTCTAATCCCCAGGAGAGCTACCCTCTTGGAAGATCATAATGTGGAAAATGTCGCTACTTCTGGAAATCATCTTGTCGTAGAAAATGACTTTTTCTTGGTACTCCAGTTTCCGCTGCGTCGTGCTCGAAAATGCAAAACATACGAAGGACGATCCTTTGAAAAGGAAACGTTCACGAACTACAGTGTTTAATATGGTTCGATGTTATGTTATCAGTCTACGAATATTTTCATAGCCCATAGTAAATTAAGGGAAACAGAGTACGACAGTGACGTAAGAAGTACATTTCCCGTTCCTTTACGCATAATTTATTATTATTGAAGTCAATGGTATGGTTAGATGACAAAAAATCGTTCACAAAATCAGTGTAAAACTTTGCGTTACACGGTTGATCAAGATTTCTCTCCGAGTAAGGAGGGAAAGAGTTCGGAAGGAAAAGAGTTCGAGCATAGATCTCCTCCGATGATGATTTTGGATAGTAATCAATGTTTTGAATATTCCACAGCGGAACTATGAGCATTATTTATTTTCTTGAAGAGGGTTCGCATTAGGCGCATAAGATTAATTCGAAATCGAGCAAGGATTCCTTTTTCAACCAAGTAATGTCGCCGCCGCGTTTTGTAAAATGTTTTAATGGTGCAGGCGCGATTTAAGATTTAAAAAATAAGTTCATGGATCACATTTTCAACACCAGGTTGTTAACTTCTTGGCATTTTCTAGCTATTTCCTAGATATTTAGGATGTAATCACATAATTATCATGAACCATTTTTTTCTTCTCTTCGATTCAGCAGTTTACATTTTTCACGTGAGGGGTAATCAGTAACGAATGGACTGCATGAGAGGCTGGGAAATAATTTAATGGAAACGAATCCTTAATGATTTTATTAATTTCAGCCATTATTCTATTCAGCATTGGAGTAGTGTGTGTAGCATCGTCCTTTAGTTTATGGTCCTAACCTGAGTTCTCTCTCCCTCACCGGAGAAGAGTATATTACAGCATCGCAATCAGATATAATACAATTAATATTCAATGGAAATGCGATCCTATTACAATGGAAACACCTCGAGTAAAAGTTCTTGGTTGAGCTTTATTTACTTGAACCACTTGGCTAGTGCCTGCAGCCCCCCTCGGCAGGGAAACTATCTCAACGGATATATTGAGGCATGCCAAAATCTTGCTCCAAGTTTTAGGTTAGAAGAAATGGGGAAGCCAATGGACAAAACTCGAATTACTTACGGTTGCTTCACAGACGATTTAAACAGAATGCTTCTTGCTTACTAGCTTCACTCACGTGTCCGCAAACCTTTTAACTCATGAATCCCAATAAGAGCGGATAATTTTTACGAGCTTTGATGTTTGACTCTTTCTCATAACGAAAGGGTGGCATCCCCTCACCCTAAAATGGGAGTAGACGACGAGGAAGAAGTGGATTCCAATGGAATATGCAATGAAGAAAACGACGACCACAATCATGAATAAGGTGAAGATGAGACCATCCTTTGTCGTGACAACCGTCACGATGAGCGAGACGAAGATGACGACGAAAAGTATTACACCTGCGATCAGTGCCAGGAAATCCATATACAACCATGGTATCATCAGTTTCCTCTTCATCTGAAACGTTTAAATATAGCATGTTTGCGAATCACCACAATTCTCAGTAAAGTACCAAGTATGTGTTTATCCGCTTTATTGAACTGACAGCTGCATTCGAGGGAAATAACATCATCGCTTCACAAGATACGTATTGAACTCTATGTGAATGCATTGGGCCAAGCACGAAGCGCATTAGACGAACTAGTTATGCCAGATTTTCATGACATGTAAATATTTGTTTGGAGACTGAACATGACTCATAAAGCACATTTTAGCGTTGCAGCAAATAAATATTTTTGGTCCTATTTTTACACTTCGAACCCCAAGGTCTACATAGGGTATGGGTAGATCGGGTCTTCCTCATGGGATAAAATGCGTCTTGGAAAAGGTTAAAGTTTCGTTTTACACAATGTAGTTGAATTCCTCCCAAGATGCTCATAGTTTTGACTATTTTCTTTTAAACTGAATCTAACGACTGTAAATACCACCTGTTGCAATGGCAGCCGTTTGATTGGCGATGTCAAGAAAAATTTTCTGCTTAAGAAATATCATTAAAGAACGAATTTATTGATGAAATATGCGCAACATGTTTTCAAACTCTCTCCAGACGGTGTGCTCTGCAAGAGATTGTACAAGGAAAATGCTGAATACATTCAAGATATTCCCAACATGAAATATGAAATCATCATATATATCGACCACATAGATATTTTTAAAGCCAACATAAGCGTTTGATGTTATACAGTAAGCAGAGACCCTCAGCTTTTCAGAATCCCATCTGCCCCTAAATTGATCTCTCCAAACGTGGTGCAATTTTCCTGAAGGATCATCATGGAAGGTTCTATGACATCGTCATTTGCTGTGAATCATCATGCTGTTCAGGTGCTTATAGCTTTTGGTTTGACTTCAAGCATTGCCATAACCACTAAGCAAATGATTTTGTATACCGCTTCGCGTACTTTTCTCCACTTTAAAATGGAAAATGAGTTTTCCATCTTCGTTCCCATGTTTAGATTTCCAGAACATCAGATGCTTAGGAGGAGCGTTTGATTCGTATGTACAATTCATGTTAGTGGAATAGTCTGAAATAATAAGTAAATTTTGAGTGGCTTAGATACAAACCTTTCGAACTCCATGGATGAGAAGGGAATCAAATATGATGAACAGGAGATAGAAGACCATGCTGCAGATGAGAAGATTCGCAAATGCTAGAAGGGAAAAAGAGAGGATGAATAGAAAAATCATCGAAGTTGATAATCCGTGCCTGTTTTTCAACCATGAACTTCCAATAGCATTTTTAAAAAATTAATATCGAAATGAATGAATCTGAAGACTTCCGATTAGCTCCAGATGCTCGAACATACCCTCTTTTGAAATGTGATCGTGGATTTCTGATCTCTGCTCGTATCCACGAGCCATGGTGATCACGTTCATCACGAAGAAAAATATATAGCAAACCTGGAAAATGAGTATTTGGATTAGTCAATGACCAGCGATCTCTTTAATATTGGAAACCCTTGGCCCAAACCGGGCTATCAAATCGACTTGAACTCAATATACTAAATTTTTTGGGAGTACATTGTAGGCGAGCAGAGTCATTGCCTTCATTACTTTGTGCTGTATCGTTCACAACCTTGATGAATTTGAGTTTTCTAAAATTTCCTGTGAAAGAGTTTTTCCGTTTTTACATTTGTGTATTGGAGAAGTCCTTAACATATTATTTGATATTAGACAACGAGCAAAGATTTTGTCGTCACAGTGGTCGATTTAAAAATAGATAAAATATACTGCATGAAATGATTGTATCTTATTCACCTGGTTCTCCATCGAACGACTTTGTTCCCATTTCACTTTACAATCGCCGTCGACGCTCCACGGTGTAAGTAAACCTGATGTCCGTTAATTTAGTTTGAATTTGAGCCTATGGCGCTTTCAGATTTCAGCTGAGAGAGTTAGTTACTGAGTGAGACTAATTCTAAGTATTTTCCAGACGTGTTAGAAAGCTGACACACACATGTATTTCTTGGTGACGAAAACGAATGTTAGTTATTGTGCTACATCATGTAATATTTCGGTGGAAAACGACCATCAGAGAATCTAATTCTCTCCCAAAATTCAAAGAAAATTCAAAGTCGTTGCAAGAACATGTTCGTGAATGACTGACCATTTCTTTAAGTATGAAGCAGGTACGAGAAAAAGCTCAAATTTGCTGCACAAGTGCCATGTCTAACGAGCATTCGAGCAAAACCCTCGACCTTGGCAAATGGAGGTCATAGAAGTCATACTACAAGGGTGACAACAGAAAACCAAATGATTCATTTCTTATTTAGGATTTATTCAAGATTATTCACAAAGGATTTACAAATATTCAAAATGTTGACCGTGATTATCATGACACCTGATGCTGTAGCCCTGCGAATGACACGTGTATACTTGTCGATAGAAAACATCATTTCGTTGTTAAAGGCGTGCTAATTGCAATCCTTTGGTTTTCTACAGTAGGTGAAAGTTTCACTTGCCTTCAGTAGCAGTACTTGTAATCTTAAAAGAAACCACAAACGCATGCAAACATCCTTCATTGCAGCTCATTCAACGACATGAGAGGAAGATTCTTACGTCATCTTTTCGCTGCAAAGTAATGATCAAAATTATTAATTATGGAAATGGCTCCAATTACCGCAAGTGGTTAAAAGGATTCATTTAGTTATTCACCAATTGCACAGAAACATGTTGCCGTTATTTGTTTGACTCGATTCGAGAGTTCGACTGGGCAGCAGGGTATGTTCCGATTTTAATACCACCTTTAAACATTGACCCTGTCTCTCATGCGTTTTTGTGGCAAACACGGGGCTAAAGAATTTCCAGCGATTATATTTCGAAAATACTCAGAAAGATCGAGTAAAAGAAATAATGAACGTTTGAACAAACCAGCCCCACGGCTCCAATGGCGATGCTCCCATTCCTGTTGTCCGTTAACCCACAGCAACAGTGTTTTGCAAACGGGATCTTCATTTTCCAATATCCTCTGTTCCCGATCTGTGGCACAAGGAAGGTAATTTTCTTATTTTGTGACCGAACTTACTGAAAACTTTGCAAATGGAAATGAATTGGCTACCGTGTGCACAAGCTAATTTTTTCAGGGATGTAACTGGATGGCTCGAACGCCTCATTTCGACACTTCATGAAATTGACGGCATGACTGCCCGGTTCTGTCTTCTTTTTCCCAGACGGAGTAATCGCTCGAAAATTCAATTCCTGGGGTTTTCAAGCATGTTGGCGGTTTAGATCTTATCCGTGATTAGTTTCTGTGTTCTTAACGGTCTCTTTCACCCAACTCTTCTATGAAATATCGCCTTAAAACGATAGATGTTTTTCAAACCAGAATAAAGTAAGCAGAAGGCTTACCGAACAAAGGTTCCACATATAACACCTCAGTGCAGAAAAAAAGGATTAACTACCATTAAAAAATTGCGCATGTTCATTGAATAAATTGCGTGTGTTAGTGCTCAGGCATCCAAAACCTTGACCGTTGAACATAGAGCATTCACATTTTTTACACTGATTCCTTAGCATTCAAGGATGCGCCCTTCTCATGGGAGAAAACTTGATCCTAAGTGCTGTTTTCCTTCTTTTCGGGAGAAACTCAATTTTGAAACGGGAGATAAAACTTTCCCATCACTGATTATGACGTCATTGACGTCGTTGACTAAACATTGACCATGAAAATAAAAATTTCCATGGGCTCGCGGTACACGAGATTGAATTATCGGCTAAAGAGTTTGTTGTGAAATGATAGACCTGCAACCCTTCCATTTGGCATTTGCACGAATTAACAAGGTTTCCAGGAGAAAAGAGTGATGGCAAATGAATCGTCGTCTTTGCTATCGATACTTACCTTTTACTAGGATTCAATTTTCGAAGGCGTATCCAGTGCCGTGGATTGAGTCAGTGACCCGTCGTCGTGTTCCGTCTCGCCTTTTGTGTTCCACTCGTTTGGAGCTGGAGCGAGAAAAAAAAAAGATTATGATTGCATGGCGATCTCGCTTGAAAAGGCAAATGTTAATCAGAACATATGACTGGAAATATGAAATCTTCGTTTAACGGCGTGGTTCCCAGACGTGCTGAACTTGCATGAGGTGCATCGAGGCTTTACAGCGACGATGAACAAGCTCGGGTTAATCGATATAGGCAATATTACAAGTAAATAGATATTTCTTCAAAACAGGGGAAAAATCAGATCCTGGGGGGGATGAAGGGGGACGGGGTTTGGGATTCTGATCCCTCCCTTACAGCCCATATCCAATAATCCCCTCTCGGAGGATTTCATGACAGCATGAAAATTCATGACAGTATTCTTTTCAATTGTAATACCCCTTCAACAGACTCCTTGGTAGCACATAGAAAAAAAATTCATAAAGCTTTTCATCATAGACAAAAAAGTCGAAAATTTTCCATTCATCATCAAAGCCATCTGTCTTTCTATGAAAAAATATGAATGGTGTATTACTACTTAAATTGCCTTAGGGGAAAAACTTTTTGAACGCCCAGTTCTTGAATCCCGATTGCCGTGGCCTGACACAATGAACTCTAAGGGATTTAATCTATCCCAGAGTAACTGTGCTCGCCAGTATTTGCAACTGTTTACATAAATTACCGGTTAGCAAAATTCCTTCCAATCTCGTTATAAGCAGAATAAACAAGCTCTGGATATTAATATAGTGAAGCGATGTTTATACCTAACATGATACCCAAGTACCACAAGAACGTTCAGGAGGACAATCAACCCTAGGCTCAAAAAGAATTTTTAAAGTTGAAGGTTCAGGGATGAGCAATTTTTTACGCCCTATTAAGGTGTCGTACGAACAGCAATGCATTACGCCCTTCATAGACGTTCCTTGAATGTTGAAGAGGCGCTTTCTTCAGCATGACTGCTATCCATCTGACGGTGACTAGAAGTAAATAAAGGTTCAAACAATCGACGCGAAGTGACACTAAAGTACCCACTGAAGCTAGTCAATACCTGCCACAGCTAGAATCATCTCCAATACTTTCCTTGCGGTGCCCCATCTTTTCCCCACACAGACACCACAGAGGAAGGCGTCTGAATTCTTCAGGAAATGGGTCTTACGAAATATCCAAGTCCTAAATGCCTCCAGAAAACGCTGGCCCGGAGTATGGAAGGAAGATGGCTCGATTTTCAAGTTGACTGCATGAGAAATGAAATAGGAAGGGTGAAATGATGATGCGTATCTTCACTCCTCTTCCAAGGTAATTGTGTACGGAGAATGTCTAATGTGTGCTATGGAAATATAGATTTTTCTGTAATTATGACTCTCTTTGCACGCACTTCTGGCGCTGAGAAGGAACTGCTCATTCGATATATATATATATCTATATATTGAAGAGCGCGCTTGAGAAGGGATTCTTGCTCCCACCACAATATTGGCACAGGGGATGGTGGGGTACCACGAATAATTTTTTTAGTGACCCTGCAACTTAGGCTTTTTCATATCTCTGAAGCAATGGGAGGCCCTGCGCATAAATACTCAAAGCACCTGCACGATTCCCCTGTTTCAAGTTTGTGAAGATACAAGTGTCGTGCGATAAAGTTGCATTTTAAAAAGGGGCTCTATGGGATAGTGTCCGGGGTAGGATGGGTCAATCATCGCTAAAATGAACTTCAGTTGACCCAAAGTCATCACACGAAGAAGTAATCGCACGACAGGAGGAGAAGCTCTTGAATTCTGATGCGCTCCACCAAAGTCATCGAGAAAAATTAAGATTCTTTTATCATAAAATAATATACGATTCGTTTCATGTCCAAGAATATCACAGCTGCTGGTTTTGAACCCTACAGAATCTTCCGCCTCTATTTGAAATTTATAAGATTGGAAAAAGACTGCAAAAGATATCCCGTCCTGCATTGGCAACGAATCAGGAAACATTTGGCGCACTGAGGTATGAGCCATTGCGCCCGAATAGAGTGGCTCATCATGCCCCAACATGAGCCATTATTAACATTTAGGTTAATAATGGCTCATGTTGGGGCATGATGATTCGTGGTACCCCACCATCCCCTGTGCCAATATTGTGGTGGGAGCAAGAATCCTTTCTCAAGCGCTCTCTTCAATATATATAT